GGTCGTGGTGTGATGCTCCTGAACCTCTGCATCCTGCATTTTTGGGGGAGAAAAATCCTGCTGGGACAGCTGGGGAAACTCTGGGAAGAAGGAAGATGGAGAGCAAGGCCAGATGTGGGGCGCTGTACCTCGTAGTGGACGAAGGCGGCCGAGTCGTGCAGCTGCATGCTCTCCCTGCGCACAGGCGTGTCCTGCGTGGCCAGGGCCAGGCAGCGCAGGGTGTCCATGCCCATGCCCCAGTCCCGGATCCTGCCCAGGATCTTGTCCCTCACCGGGGCCGTCAGCGGGACCTTGGTGGTGCCCACGCGTACGTGGGTGCAGCGCTCGATGACGCTCTCCGGGGCGCCCTGTGGGGAGAGGAGCAGGGCTCAGGGGATGGGATGAGGATGGAGGGTCAAAGGAAGTGCCAGAGGGAGGGAAGGCACCAAGTTTGGGTAAAAACAGAGGAAATCTCCCCAAATTCCAGCACTCATCCTGGCCCTGTGGCTCAGGGCACTAGATGGCAGCCTCTGACTGAACACATCGGGATCACACCCAGGTCACCCAGAGCAGGATCTGCTGGAGAGCCAGCTGGCCCTGCAAAACCTACAGATCCTCCTGAAATACTTCCAACCCACCCTGTAAGAGTGACAGGGGTAACATGGTCAGGACGAATGGAGACGAGAGATCTCTGCAGCCAGGTCGTGGAACTTGGGGTTTATTGCAAAGGGTCTGGGGGCAGGGCCCTGCTGGGAGCTGCCAAACACAGCTCAGAGCAGGCTGAGAGAAGAGAGAGGGAGAGAGGATGAGAGAGTAAAAGCATAAGAGAGTAGAAGGGGTGAGAGCTAAGAGGCAAGAGGTAAGAGAGCAAAGTTCCCATTACAATACAATAAATCATCTTCTGTGTTGAATATTCTCATTCTCACTAACCAATCTAGTACAATATACAAATCATACAGCATTTACATACAGCCTATAAGAATTATTACATTACCATTCTGTGTTACATTTTAAACCCTAAAAACTCCTCTTTGGGCCCCTTCTGCCAAGCTGCAGGGTCTGCTCTGACCCTTGGGCCTGTCTGCAAGCAGAGGGTGTTGTTCCATCAAAAGGGGATCACCTTCAGCTGGCCACACCATTGTTTTCTAGTTGTTCAGTAACTGAGGTATCTCAAAGCTTGCTTTCATTTCAATCTCACTTATAGTTTCCATATTCTCAAAATCTTTTGTCGGACAATCATATTTATAAGGTTTTCCTGTTTCATCTTCCCCAACACCACCCCACAGACCCCTGCTCTGACCTGCAGAGGATGAGAGCTGGAAATCTGAGAGGGAACAAATGTGGGATTTTCAGAGGATGCTTGTGATGCCTTTGCAATTCAGGAAAACATGTCCTTGAGCATCCCAGCCTCTCACCCCAGCCCTCCTGACCTTACAAAGCACCCTGACATTACTCTTTAATATAAAACTTGCAATCTTTCTATTGCATCTCTTAAAAAGCTCTCCCAGGGCCACAGATCCAGAGGCTTCAGAGGGTCCCAGCCTGGCCTGGAGGGCAGAGTTCACCCACCCAGATAATTTCCCAGTGGGAACAACAATATTCAAATCTTCTCAGAGTCAGCGGGGAGAAATTCCACCACATCTCTTCCCTTGGGAAGAAAATTTCCTATGAAACACTATTTTATTTCTGGCTTCAGTGGAAAACTGGACATCATCCTTTGGGCATTACTGGCATCTGGAGGGTCCAAGCCTTTAAAAAAGGCAAGTGCCCAAATTCTGCATGAGTGCAGCTCTCCCCTGCCCCAGCACAACTCAGCACCTTTCCCTCCGTCTAAACCATCTCACCCCTTTCTTCCCTAATCAATATGGAACAGACTCACCTCCTCCCTGACCCCACCAGCCTACCTGCTGGATCCTGAATCCCCAGCATCTCAGAGTTTCCACCAGCACTACAGGAAATGCTCTGCAGCTCCCCTCACCTTCCCCAGAGTGTGAGAGGAGCTGCAGAGCATCACCACTGCCCTGTGCAGCCAGGGCCAGATGCTGCTGTGTCAGGACCCAGCACATCCCTCTGGCTGTCCTGAGCAGCCAAGACCCCTGCCAGGGGGCTCAGGGACCCTGGCACAGAGCCCAAAACACCTGTGGGTTTGATTATGACCCATGGAGCAAGTTACCAACGCTATATGAAGACCAGCAAGCCACAATAGTTTAGGTAGAATAATAGCGAAGTTACGACAGGGTGGAAAAGTAGATTTTAGAGTTTCTGGTATGGGGGTTCAGAAGGCAAGATGGAGGGAACTGGGGGTGTCCAGCCTTTCTCCTTCTTCTTCTTGGCCTCCATCTTCTGCTGTGATGGTGGCACTTTTAGATTGGTTTAGAGTAGAAGCTCACTGTCTAACATAGGTGATAGGTAAGTAATAGGAAAGTAATTGTAAATATTGCACATGTAGTTTTTAGTATAAAGACATAACACCGCCCTGGGGCAGGCAGAGTGCCTGGAACTCTTGCTGAGCTGACCTTGGCAGGGCAGGAGAAAAATCTTTTATAGGTAAGACGCAATAAACAACCTTGAGACTGGGAACTGAAAAGCTCAGAGTCCTTCTTCAAGCACTGGGCTGGGAAAAGAAACTTTGCAACTTTTCTTGGGTTCACTCTGACAAGCTAATGATCCTGACACTGCTGGGTGTGTGAGGGGCAGCTGGACCCTGCAGGTGCTCCAGCCCTACCTTGACAAACCAACAAACAAACCAACAGTTGCTGCATCCCTACCTTGACAAACATCTTGCTGCCAGCAGAGTTGTTGCCAGCCCCGCTGGGGGTGCAGTACACGGACATGGACTTGCGGTCCCGGGAGAACTCCAGCGTGCACTCCTTCCTCATCAGCTGCTTGATCACCTGCAGGAACAGCATGGGGCTGAGCAGGACAGGCCAGGGACATTGGTACTCTCTGACAAGCCTGTTGAGCCCCTGGGGTGGGAGGGGAAAGGCAGCCACAGGAGCCAGGAAGGTTTCTGATAAACTTCCCTTATCAGAAAGGAGTCAGAATATTTATTACAACCTGAACAGATCTGTCCTGGGGAAAAATGCTGGAACTGAGAGCTCTCTGAGCAAGGGAAGACATTGTAAGATCTAGCAGAGGAAATACAGACCCAAAATAAAGTGTGTTTTCACCCAGGAGGACAGGGAGACACTGGAGTAGGGGAGTAGCCAGAACAAGACATTTTCATGTCAAAAATAGATGTTTCCAAGGAGCAAATGTCACTGGGGCAGGCCAGGCTCTGGGGAATAGGGTTTGGTTCCTGCTGGAGGGTGGCTGCTCACTGCAAACTGGGCACCCAAAGATAACTCCAAACTTGCTCATCTGCAGCCAGAACTCAGGCTCTCATTTAGAGGGTCTCTCCTGCCTGAGCAGGAACTGCACTGAGTTGGAGCCTCAGCAATCACCTGCCCCAAAGCTCCATGCAGGCTGGTCCTCAAAGCCCTGGCATCAGCTCCCCAGGGCCACTGTTCCAAAAACAGCTCACCATGAGAGCCCAGAAATCACATCCTTGTGCAAATCAGTCCCTTATACCATTGCAAGTGTTTGTTTGCCCAAAATTCAGCCATCCTCAATCCCTCCTCTCCCTCCCATCCCCCAGTGCTGATGGGGTTTCTCCCCACTCACTGAGTTGCAGGCATTGGCTCTCTCCACCTTGGACAGCTTGCTGAGGTCTGTGTTGAAGACATTCATCTTCTCCACCAGGCACGTCAGGGCTGTTTCAGTGGCCTCCCCCACCTTCTCATAGACTTTTTTGGACTAGAGGGCAGAAAGAAAGAGCTTAACCTTTAGAGCACATCCTCCACACGCTGCTGCCGCTCCTGAGGATGCTGCCATAACCACACCAGAGCATCCTCCAGGGACGAGGGAAGCCAGGGAAGGGGATCCCAAGGGACAAACTCTGCTGGCTTTGCCCTGAAGCACAGCAGGAGCATCCCCCCTACCCCACCCGGGCCCTGGTGCCCCCAGACCTCATTGTAGTCCAGCGAGGAGTCATTGCAGAGGGCACAGATGGTGGCCAGCTCCACCAGCCCGTCGTACTGCCCGCACTGCACCGGCTGCTCGTCCTTCAGGCTGCGGGCAGAAAACAGCAATGGGGAAACCCAGAGAACACAGAGAATATTTCCCTGTCTGCTCTGGGGTGCCCTGACCCCCAGGGCAGCACTGACTCTGACCCTCATTCATGGAGAAAGTTTCCCAGACTTCAAGATAAACTAGAAACCACAGAAGTGTGAAATAGATTATAGAGAGTAATGTACTTATATCACTTAGGTGGGAAATTTAGGTTTTGGGATTTTTAGTATGCTGTGGATGGAAGCAAGATGGAGGGTACAGGGTGTTGTCCTGGGTTTCTTCTTCATGCTTCTTCCTTCTTCATGGCTCTGTGAGATCAGTTATTGGGTTAAAAGGGAAAATAATCTAGGTGTCAGCTCTTAATTGGACAATTTAGTCTCAAAAGACCTTGGAACAAGAGATTGTTGGCCATTTTGTGCCTGGGTTTGCCTACTGCCAAACTCACAGTAGTGAGACTGTTCTACTGATAAGAAATAATAAACAGAGTCCCAACATGAACTTCTGTCTAAAGTGCCTTCAATCCAGACCCAGAGAAACCCACAACTGGTACCCCCACACAACCCCAACAGCCTCACACCAGCTCACACCTTCAATACCTAAACATCCAACCAACCCTAAACATCCCTCTTAGGGGGATATACAGCCTACACATCACTCTTGTAAAAGCGGAAAGAAAAGCCCAGTTAAAGCACCAGTGCTGGCAATAAATCCTTGGGTTCACATTTTGTACTTTATTAAATGGGGCAGCACTAAATTGCAAACAAAATATCACAGGAGGCAAATAAATTCTGCAAGTGGCCCAGAACAAGGGGAGCAGCAGAGGAGTTCAAAGGAGCAAGCAGGGGCTGCTCACAGGCTGATGATGAAAGTGATGGACCAGAAAAGGGGCAAAGAAATTCATGTTAACACCCATCCCCTCAGGGGTTTCTATTTGCTTTGAATCCAGAGGAGCTGTGGAACCAACAGCAAGTCCCTGCTCCTTCCTGTGATGCTGTTTCACACTCCAGAGGGAACCCAGGGGAGCATTTAGGAGCAGCAGAGAGCTTGAACAGCTGCACTGCTGTGGCTGCTTCCAAGCAAGTGCTGAACTGTGATCTTTGCTTCCTCAATAGCAGCTCTTTGCTACGGAAAGGAGCAGCCCTGAACACTCCAGCTGCTTCTCCTCTCCTGGTGGTAGGAATGGTAGCAGTGGTTTTGAAGGAAATCAAAAATTCCCCTGGTTCCAGCAGAGGTAACTGCAGGTTAGAGCTGTGTAAACCCAGCCGGTCATCTCCTGGCTGGAAAAATAATTTGTCAGGCATTTACTAGGATCAGCTTATTCCACTGTTGGTTCCCAATGGAAAGAACATTTTGGAGCCCTTGTTACAGCTCGGGAGCGGAAAACATGGAGCAGCCAAGAAAATCTGAAAAATCTGTTTGCTGAGGGAGACAAAGCCACACTGGGCTGTGAGTGGGAAGGGAGAGCCACTGCTCCTGCCCAGAGAGGCTGCCCAGCCCTGGGCTCACAGGGAGGGACAGCAGACACAGCAAGCATGGCTTGTGCAGCACGGGAACCCCTGGACATTGTGGGAGGGGATGGGAGTCACAGCCCCATGGTCAGCAGCCCCTGCATGGTCAGACCCATGTGCTGGGAAAAACATCAGCAAAGGGGCTATCACAGACATATTTTCATGAAAAATCCTTTCCTTAGGATTTTTCCTCCTGAGAAGCTGAGAGGCCTCAGGAACAAAATGTAAACAATGATTATCTGCTGCTGTGGAATGAAACAGGTACATCTGTGATTAGCTCATGTTGGTTTGTTTGTAATTAATGGCCAATCACAGCTGGTTCGGAGAGTCTGGGACAGAAGCTTTGTTATCATTCTTTTCTGATTCTATTCTTAGCTTAGCTAGCCTTCTGATGAAACCTTTTCTTCTATTATTTTAGTATAGTTTTAATGTAATATATAACATAAAATAATAAATCAAGCCTTCTGAAACATGGAGTCAGATCTCCATCTCTTCCCTCATCCAAGAACCCCTGTGAACACGTTCACAGGGCTGCTGGCTGGGTGCTGTGTGAGCAAACCCAGTGTCCTGCATGAAACATCCCCCTGCCAAGGCCAGGTTAAAGCAAACAAGCCTTTAATGTCACCAGCCCTGGGGGAAGGAGGGTTCTCTCTTCAGCAAGCCCACACATCCCTCTCCATACACAACACAGGCACAGGGCTAAAGCAAAACTCAGGAGCAACAAAAAATGCTGCAGACCAACAGAGTGGCCCTAAATGCAGCCCCCAGAGGCCAGGGGACACTGAGCTTCAGAGGTTGGCAGGCACAAGTTCAGCCCCCGGGCCCTCCTCAGTTTTAATTGAAATGCACTGACTGACACCAGCTTATGACTTGGCTCAGTTTTTAATGGAGATTCCTAGCCAAGGATCAAATTGGCACCATAAATATTCATGAAATTATGTCTGTGGCTGAGATGAGTTACAGCTGCTCCATGGATGAGCAGAAGGCACCACGCTGACAAATGTGTCTGGGATCACTGAGCAAAGCAGAGGGGAGCAGAGAGTGCTCCCACCACCAGCTGAGCTCCTCATCTGCCTTCTTGCTACACTGGGGGCCGCCACCTCCTTCCAAAGGAACAGGAATAAACAAATACAACAGCAGAGAACCCCATGAGTGTGATAACACTTCAGAGAAAAGCCCCCAGCTCCCACTCCCTGCCCATGCCTGCCCTGAGAGACACCCAGACATCAGCAGGATCCTGCCCTGGGCACACCAGCCACGGCAGCCACCCCTGCTGTGGGCACAGGGTCAGGGAGCACTGTCCTGTTGGGCTTTGAGCCATTTGCAAATCCCCCTGAGCATTGCTGGTGGCACCTGGATAAGCTGCCCACCCTGCATCCTGCAACAGCCACCAGCCAATACCCAAACTGTGCAGGCTCCAGAAACATGGAGAGTCATCCTCTGCTGCAAAGTGAAATAGATTATAGAGAGTAGTGTAGGTGTATCACTTGGTGAGAAATTTAGGGGAAATTTCTATGTGATGAAATTTCTATGAAATTTCTACGTTCGTCACCATTCCCACATCTGTCATTTTCTCTGGTTTATTGTTTTACTGGGATTGCTAACCAAGTGAAAGCCAGGGGCGTGGAACCCCTCTGCTGAGCAGTGGGAAGGCAGAGCCAGGGTGAGCACTACCCAAACCAAGTGGGGCAGGAGCTGTGGGGACAGGGAAACACCGTCCTGGTGCCCATGGACAGCAGATCACAGCCCATCACCCAACACCTGCAAGCCCACTGGGGATCCCCATGGACAGGACTGCAAACCACCATGGAAACCCCTCGTTTCCCCTAGCCATGGCCATGAACCCAACCCTCCCATCTCCCCCAGCTCTGCTGCCAGCCCAGAGCCCCCTGTGTCCCCGGGGATGGGACCCTCACTCACATCTGTCCCTCGGGGGCGTAGGTGGAGCCGGTGATGCTGAACTCGTGCAGGCTGCACTGGCTGCCCTCCACCTTCTCCATGATGAACATCTGCCAGGGGAGAGGGGCAAACAGAGCATCAGGCAGCACATTCTGGGTACAGCCCTCGTGCCCAGCCTGGAAACCCACCACAATGCACTGTCCCAGTTATCATAGCCCTCCCAGCACCAGGCTCAGGTGGCACAGACATGGTTTATGAAAATTCCTTTCCTTAGGCTCTTTTCTCCTGATAAGCTGAGAATCCTCAGTAACAAAATGTAAACAATGATTACCTGCTGCTGTGGAAAGCATCAGGTGGATCTGTGATTGGTCTCATGTGGTTGTTTCTAATTAATGACCAATCACAGTCCAGCTGTCCAGACTGTCTGGTCAGTCACAAGATTTTATTATCATTCTTTTTCTATTCTTATCCAGCCTTCTGATGAAATCCTTTCTTCTATTCTAATATATCATTTCAATAGAATCGTAATATATATATAATATATTCTATATTATATATTATTCTAATATATTCTATATTCTATTCTTTTATAATATATAATTTCAATAGAATTCTTCTATTCTTTTATAATATATAATTTTCTTTTATATATAATAAAATAATAAATCAGCCTTCTGAAACATGGAGTCACATTCTCATCTCTTCCCTCACCCTGGGACCCCTGTGAACACCACCACACTCAGGCCCATCCCTGGTCAGCCACTATCCCTGGCTGTCCCTAAATCCTTCTCTGCCTTTGTCATGTTCACCTCCTCCAGCTCTTTCTTTCCCTAAGAGATGAGAGACGCTGAGCCTGTTCCTAAGAAGGTTCCTGTGTTTTTCTTGGAGCACAGAAGGGTCAAGGTTTCCACTCCTGCCCTGGAAAGCCTCTGCAGGGCAGGATCCAAGCAGGGGTGGCTGCCCCTGCCACCCTTCGCAGCCAGCTCTCAGCCACCAGCCTTGTGCCTTGCTGGGATCACAGCTCAGCTCTGTAATAAAACCCCAGTGAGCCATAAAAGTCCCCCACACTCTATTTATAGTGATTTTTGCCTTTCAAAATCCTTCCAGTTTTTCTTTTGCTGCTATAATGAGACAAATCCCTCAAACTCTGAAATAAAATTACAATTCCCCTCTCCCCAAGCTCCCCCAGTTCCCCTTGTCCCTCCCAGCACAGCCCACCTTTGAGGGCAGCATCCCTGGGAACAAGAGCAGAGAGTTCAGAGATGCTCATTTCTGCTTCTTGTTATTTATGACCCACACTGAAGCCAAAAAGCAACACAATAAATAAAAAAAACAAGCAAATAAAGAAATAAAACTGGTTTGGCAAATGCATTTCTCTGGCTGCAGGGAGAAGCCAGGATTTAATCTGGAAGCAGAGAAGTGCTGCTCTCCTCAGCTCCATGAATTTGCTGAGTGCCTCCAGAAAGCAGGTGCAGGGAAAACTGTTCCACTCCAACCTGTCTCAAAATAATTAGTTTTTTTACTCTATTTATTTTCCTCTGGTTGTTTGTGTTGTTCCCCAGGAGAGGGAAGCAACAGATGCTGGAGAAATCAGCAGGCATCACTCAGCACCAGAGATGCAACAGCTCCAGCTACCACCCACTCCTCTGCCTTCCACATTTCCTCTGGCAACAAACAGAGGTTCACCTGCTATTATTATTAATTATAACTTGCTATTATTATTAATTACTGTTAATAATACAAGGAAACCTCATCAGTGCAGCCACGCTGGCAGGTGTGAGGTGTCCCAGGTTTGAGCTTGGGGACAGGCCAAGCCACAGGGGATGTTCAGGGGAGCCCAATCCCAGCATGGTCAGCACCAGGACACCCCAGGGGCTTTTCTCACCTCCCTGTTTTACAGGATAAGGTAAATTAAAGGAGCAGGTTCAAAGCATTCATCCCCTGTGTGAGAAATTCTGAGCCCAAAACAACCTCACCATGGCTTCCCAGCTATTTGCAGATATCCGCTACCCCAATCCTGGGCTAATGCTGATGCCTCAGGTTTAGATTTTATATTTTTCACATTCTGTGCTGCTTTAGTGTGTGGATCTGGGCTTCCTACGAGGGGATGGTGAGCTCTGTCCACAGAGCAGGGAGACAAAACAATTCCTTCTCTAGCTGGGGACCAAGGACAAATGATCCAGATCTCAGGCCCAAGAACATAAACAACATGAACTAAAGAGAGAAAAACAAGCAGGATGGGACTGCATGGGCTAAAGCTGGAATTGCACAATGAACTGCAAGGTGCAAATGGAGCAGAACTTATAAAAGAGAGACCCTGTGACTGGCTGTCCATTTTGGGACCATTTTGGTTCACCTTGGGTGCAGCCCTGGCTGGGCTCTTGTGCTGCCCAAGGTGGATCCATGGAGGAGATCCTTTTAATAAATCCCTGCTTTATTCTTTAGCTCTGTCCAGCCCCTGTTCTAGTCCAGCCTTCACAGGGCACAGTGCCCTCAGCTCCTTTCCCAGGGCCCATGAGGGAGGCCCAGCAGCATCCCTGAAGGGTTCTGAAGGAAATAATGAGACAAAGTGCTGCACAAGAAGTGTCCCAGGTCCCCTGGAGGCACTGGGCTCCTCTGGCAGCTTAATAAAGAAATCAAATCCTATTTCCTTTGGTAACAACCCCTCAGAGATGACAGACCCAGAACCTGAGCTGAGGCACCCAGTCTGAGACACCACCACAAGGAACCTTCCAAGCCTAAGCACCCACCACCTTTTTTGAGACATCCAACACCATCAACCTTCCAGAGAGCCAAAATCTCCTGTCCTCCTCAGAAAATGAATCCTGAAACACCAACCAGACTCATTTATTAAAAAGCTGAAAGCACCCACCCCAGCCTGATGGGTTTGCCTGATATGAGCCTGTTTGTTTTCAAATGCCCATGGCTACAAAACAATTATTGCTTTCACAATAGTGTCTTTCTTATTAAAAAAAGGGAAAAGGGAAATAAAAAACCCACAACATTCCAAGCTCTTTATTTTTCCATCCCTTTAAAAAAAAAAAGGTGCTAAGCAGAGGTTATATCAAATTTCCTGCTGCTCCCAGCTTGCGTGACTGGGCCAAGCATGGGGGCAGCCAGGGCACTGCAGAGGTGTTTGCAGGGTCACAGAATGGTTTGGGGTGAAAGGGACATTAAAGCTCATCTCATCCCACCCCCTGCCATGGGCAGGGACAGCTTCCACTATCCCAGGTTGTTCCAACCTGGCCTTGGGCATTTCCAGGGATCCAGGGGCAGCCACAACCTGTGCCAGGGCTCCTCACATTCACAGGAAACAATTCCTGCCTCAAATCTAATCTAAATCTCCCCTCCTTCAGCTTAAAGCCATTCCCCCATGTCCTGTCACTCCAGGCCCTTGTCCCCAGTCCCTCTCCAGCTCTCTTGGAGCCCCTTTAGGCACTAAACAGTGCTCCAGGGTCTCCCCTGAGCCTTCCCTTCTCCAGGCTGTGCAGCCCAGCTCCCTCAGCCTGTCGGTGTTTTGTCAGATTTCCAGGCTGAGAAGTGGGCAGGTTTGTGGGCAGTGGAAGCAGTCCAGAGGAAATAGCTGCGTCTTAAGCACTTAAGAGCAGAACTAAAGTTTCCATCACAAAAAGAATGGAAATAATATCAGGAGCAATAGAAGGAGGTGGAAATGCTGCAGCTCAGCTGGGGGCTGCTGACAAGCCAGGCTCACAGAAGGGCTGCTCAGTCCCTTGTGCAGCACAGTGAACAGCAGCTGCAGCCAGGGGAACACAGACAGCAGCACCCTGGGCTTCCCCTGCCCTGAACCTTTCATAGCCACGCCACTGATTTGGGGCCTTAATGCAGCAGAGAGGTTGGAAAGAAAATGTAATCACCCTCCTCCCAAAGGGCTCCAGCATCACTGTCCCTTTCCTGTCCCCTGGATCCTGCCCAGCCTGGTGCTGCAGCACACCTGGATGCTGCTGCTGGGGGCTGTTTCCAGGAAGAAAAGGGCATTTGTGGGTGCAGCATCCCTGGAGCAGCAGCTGTGGGCTTGTGAGGCAGACAGGTGTGAAGGATTTATCTGCACTTTGTTTTCTGCAGTGTCTTTAAAAGAACTACTCATGGAGAAAGGCAGGATTGCTGTCTGGAATTGTAAGAGCTGTAAGCATCAGTCACTATTCCATCAACCAACCCATGGATCAGCATCATTGCACTGGAAGCAGCCCCAGCCAACCCACAGCCTCTGGGGACCCCAGGCAGGTCCCCCAGTAATTAGTGACAGGTTTGGACAGGCCACAGTGCTGAGCCAAGGCACAGAGCCCTGGGGACTGCACCAGGGATCGCAGTGTGCATGTCCAGGCTCTGCTTCAACCTTTGTGCAAAACAAACCCCTTTCTGCACCTGCTCCCCACAACACCAGCAGCCATCTCAGACAGCCAAATATCACTGATCACCTCAAATATCACTAATCACCCCAAATATCACACTGATCACCCCAAATATCACACTGATCACCCCAAATACCACTGATCACCTCCTCCCAGACATGGGGTACCAGCATCATTGCCCCCACCCCCAAGCCCACATCTCCTCTTTGAGTCCTGATTTTCAAATGCCACCTTCCTGGAAAATTAAGGTAGGCTGCATAAAGGGCTGCTGCAAGTTTTAGGAGAGTGATTTAAACATGTGAGAGCAGAGAGAGCTGTGATGCTTCTATTATTATTAATTAGTGTCCCTTCTCCTCCTGCCAGGCTCCCCACTGCTCCCAGCTCCATGGTTATTTACAGGTTGGGAGGAGGCTGCTCCTGGTTCCTCCCTGCCCTGGGGGATGTGGTGGTCTCAGAGACCCCCAGGTGACCATAGAGTGACACAAACCACGGGTTTGCTCTGCTTTACTAAATGGGTTTGTGGCTTTGTCACTGTAACCTTGGGTGGACTTGAGGTCAGAGCAAGAGCACGAAAGTCTCAACCATCCTGGGTGGACAGGACCACAAAGCCCCCAGCACAAAGCCCCTCATTTTGGGTGGCTCTGGGGGACACAGATTCACCCTGCTGAGCCCTGGGTGTGTCCTGGCTCAGACAGCACCCTGGCCATGAGACCCCAGCTCTGGGAGGGACCCAGAGACATGGCACAGCTCCTGAAACCAGCCCTGAAGCCTTTCCAGAGTCCCTGCAGAGCTCCCAGAGCTGATGCCAGCACTGAGACAGTGAGCAGGCCCCACTCAGCAGCTGCACTCACTCTGTTAATGGGCAACTTAATGAAATCACTCTCAATTAATACATTTCCCCAGGTTATTGATAGGGTTTTCTGGTTGTTCAGCCCATGGCTGGGCTGGCTGTTTGGCACAGGAGCGTGTCCTGGCCACACCAAGGGCTGCCCAGCACAAATATTTAATATTTACCCACCTGCCACTCAGAGGGCCAGGCAGGCAGCCCTGTCCTGCCCACGTCAGCACGGGAATCCCTGTTAATTAAACATTAACAGCCTGGCTCTGTGTCCTGGGCCAGCCCTTCTCCAGCACTGTGCCCTGGGAGCCAGGATCCAGCCAAGGGAATAAACAGATATTGCAACAGGATTATGGGGACATGGGCTGGAGGATACTTTGATTTTTTAATAGCTCTTTTTTTTCGGTTTTTTAAAGTTGCTGAGTTCATTCTGCAGATGACAATTGATGCAGGAATATCAGCCATTTCCATCCATCTGCAGTTTGTGCTGAGCTAACCAGTGGCCAAGGCCTGTGCCTGGTTTGCAGCACTGTCACAGCTTCCCCCCACACTGTCTGTGTGCCACAGAGGAGGGATGCTGGCCAGCTCCTTCTCTTTTCCCACAGCAACACATTTTCCAAGGTTCTCCTACAAAAACAACACGCCAAAGGCATGTAAAAAGCTTTCCTCACACTCATGGACTAATGGGAAAACTGAGAAGTGCTCAGATGGTCCAGGCTTTCCTACCAAGTCGCCTCTCCACACGGCCAATTATGTGGGAGCAAAATTCTCTGGTGGATGAGGAGCCTTCAAACCCTTCACCAAACCACCCCAGGGCTCCCTCCTTCCATCAGAAATGCTTTTCAAGATTCCAGGCTTTGTAACTTTGCATGGTCCAGAATTTCTCACTAGTTGGGTTAAAAATAGGGGGAAAACAGCAAGAGAGCAGAGGAGGCTGATGGGCATCAGCTGTGTCTCAGGGTCCCATCCCAGCAGGAAGAAACATTCCCTGGAAAGTGACCCCTGAAATGAGACTGCAACACAGCACCTCCACAATGGTGTGCTGCTAAAAGCGAGTTTCCTAATTATACCCAAGCCAAGAGAGTGGGCTTTGTGTCCTCACCAGAGCTGTGTGGTGGTAGCAGTGTGGGGGTGAGCAGGGAGGAGGGTTTATAGGAAGGCCTGAGGGTTTATAGCAAGCCCTGAGGGTCCCCAGGGCTCAGTAGCTTCTCTTGGCTTAGGTGTTATTAGGAAACTCGTTTTTACCAGCACACAAGATTCTCATCTCTCCTCATGTTGCATTTGTCTGCAAATTCAACACCTCTCAGTTTCCCCATTTTTGATCCAGAAAAGGGTTTAACCCCACACTCAGCCTCTCCTATGCCCCTCCTTGGGCCTGGCTCTGACCTTGCACACAGACATCTGGTTGGTGGTTAAGGTGCTGGTGAACACCTCTCAGTTTCCCCATCTGTGATCCAGAAAAAGGTTTAACCCCACTCTCCAGCCTCTCCCCTGCCCGGAGCTCTCACCCTGCACATGGACATTTGGTTGGTGGTGAGTGTGCCGGTCAACATCTCTGTTTCCCCATTTCTGATCCAGAAAAGGGTTTAACCCCACACTCAGCCTCTCACCCTGCACACAGACATCTGGTTGGTGGTGGGAGTGCCAGTCAACATCTCTGTTTCCCCATCTCTGGGCCAGAAAAGGGTTTAACCCCACACTCAGCCTCTCACCCTGCACACAGACATCTGGTTGGTGGTCAGCGTCCCCGTCTTGTCGGAGCAGATGACCGAGGTGCAGCCCAGGGTCTCCACGGAGGGCAGGCTCCTGACGATGGCGTTCTTCCTGGCCATCCTGCGCGTGCCCAGCGCCAGGCAGGTGGTGATGACGGCGGGGAGGCCCTCGGGGATGGCGGCCACCGCCAGCGCCACCGAAATCTTGAAGTAGTAGATGGCGCCACGGAACCAGGACCCGCCGTGCACGGGGTCGCTGAAGTGGCTGATGTTGATGACCCACACGGCGATGCACACCAGGAAAATCACTTTGGAGAGCTGCTGGCTGAACTCATCCAGCTTCTGCTGCAAGGGTGTCTTCTCAGGCTCGGTCTCCACCATCTGGTTGCGGATCTTCCCGATCTCAGTGTACACCCCCGTGGCAATGACGATCCCCACGGCCTTGCCAGCTGCAATGTTGGTGCCCTGGAGGGGAGGAAAGCAGGAGAGTGGGTATGTGGGCATGAAAAATCTTGGTTTGAGCAGGGAAATGGGTTCCTCATTGTGGAAGGGAAATGGGTTGCTCATTGTGAAAGGGAAATGGGTTCCTCATTGTGAAAGGAAAACGGGTTGCTCTTTTTCCCCCTTGCTTAAGGGGAAAATGGGACATCTTGAGTTTTTTATATAAACCCATCCTAAGGAACAGGAGAGCCCTTTTTGAGAGCTGTAACCCCTCGAGGACTTGGCTTCTGCCTGAGAAGAACATGAGAAGGGAGGAAACCCAAATTTGCAATAGCTCCAGGCTCACCACAGACCTCTTCCCCATCCATAATGCATGGATGGAAAAAGTGCTCTGAGATTTCCCAAGGTATTTAAAGGCCTCATGTGCCACAGCCCAGATGGAATCCAAATGAAGCAGATTCTTATTTTTATGGATTTGGGGCTCTTTTTATGGATTCAGATCTTATGCATGCACTCCCTTTCTCTGCTCAGAGATCTCCCACATCCACCAGCAGCCTCTGCACTTTGGAAAACCACAGAAGAGGTGGAGTCAGGTGTAAGGGACTTACAGAGAACAGCATGTTCTTCTTGTCCTGGTTGACAGCCCGGGGATCAGGGATGGGGTCAGCATGTTTGATCACCGACACCGACTCCCCTGCCAAGATAAGAGGAGAGAGATGGACCACCCATGTTCCCTCTCCATCTTCATCTCATCCCTGTTCCAAGCCTGCATCACACAGTGCTCTAGAGCAGCACTTTGCCACCAAACCATCCAAACATCCACCACAGGGTTGGGGCTTTGGTATTTTGGGTTTTGGGCTTTGGGGTTTGGGGATTTTGGGGTTTTTGGGTTTGGGGATTTTGAGGTCTGGTGGTTTGGTATTTGGGGGTTTTGGGGGACTCTGGTTTTGGGGTTTGGGGGTTTTGGTATTCTGGATTTGGGGTTTTGAGGTTTTTGGGATTTGGGGTTTTGAGCTTTGGGGTTTTGGTGGTCATGGTCAAGGTCGTCACAAGGTCCAGGTGGTCACTCTCAGGGTGGTCACTCTCAAGGTGGTCAAGGTTGCCCCAAGGTCAGGTGGTCACTCTCAAGGTGGTCACGGTCAAGGTGGTCACAGGGTCAAGGTGGTCACAGAGTCAAGGTGGCCCTAAGGTCCAGGTGGTCACTCTCAGAGATGTCCAACCCCACAAGTGACACAGGAAAACCCCAGGATTTGTGCTCTGCAGGAAGGACTCCCAAGCACCAGACACATCTCACCTGTGCCGTGACTTTGAGAACCTGGGAAGGTCCAACCATCATCTAAATCTTGCTCTCCCACCTTTCCCACCCCAGCAAAGCCCTTTTCCCAGCATCAGCTCTGAGGCTGGCCTCCAGGAAGGCAGCAGGAGGCAGCTGCCCCTGCCCCAAGGCCCACACTGACCTGTGAGGATGGACTGGTCGACCCGCAGGGTGGTGGAGCGGATCTCGATGATCCTGATGTCTGCTGGCACCTTGTCCCCAACTGCAAGGACAAGCACAGCAGCTCTGCCAGGTGGCACTGGCAGCACCCAACACCCCAGGAATGGGCACAGCAAACCCCCAAGTGAGCCCAGCCATGTGCAGGTGCACAGCAGCACCAGCCTGGAGCAATGAGGGGTGCAGCCCCTGGCAAAGGCTCCTGCACTGGGATCCCAAATTTCTGCATTTACAGCTTTGTTAAACTTCATTTTGTCTGTCTGTAATTTACAAACCAAACCCTGTGGTGCCTGCCTGCTGTGTTGCATCCATTCCCCACTGTGTCCCTGCTTCTCCTCTTCCCTGCAAACTCATTTGCCTCTTTCCTGCAAAAAAAACAGAACATCCCCACGTTGAAGCAATCTGACCTTCCTAATACCAGTCTAACTCTGCTTCAGGTTTCTCTGGGCTGACTGGAAGCTGTTAACAATGGAAAATCTTCTGTGTCCAAGACAAACAACCATCCCTGGCTCTCCTGGCATGGCACAGTGGGCACAATGAAAGCTGCCCTATCCACTGCCACCCAACAGCACCCTCCAAGGCACTAGTGCTTCCTTAAAAAAGCCATTTTAAGCTGCTTTTCCTGCTGGGTTTCTTCCCCCTGGCTCTTCCTCCTGCTCCCTTATCGCTGGACACAGCCACGCTCTGAGCTTTGGAAATACTGAGGGGAGCCCTGGCTCCCAGCCCCTCCCATCCCTTACACAACACTGCTGGCCTGGCTGCTAACGATGCTCTAAAATCCCAAACTTTAATCCCAAGCTTCCTCCCGGGGCTTGTAAACCCCCCCAGAGCAGCAGGAGGGGCTGGCACTGCTCCACCACCCAGCCACTTATTCCAGCTGCAGATCCCAACGCTCCAGGATGCAGCAGCAGCATCTGCCAGAGCCCCCCTGCTCCCTGTACATCTGTCTGGGGGTGCCAGCACAGACCTCCCCTAAACACCATGCACAGAACTCAGACTCTGCATCTGTCCAAGGGGGCTGGAGCATCCCAGAGGGAGCAAAGAGCTCCTCTCCCCCTGGAAATGGCTGGAGGAGCTAAACCTGCAGAGGAAAACTCCCGCAACATCTGGGGACAGAGAGAGCCCTGGTGGCTCTTTGCCTTCTTTAGAGGACACAGCCGCAAGCTACCTCAGGGAAGGGATAGGTTGGATATTAGGAAAAAATTTTCACCAAAAGAATAGTAAAGTACTGGAATGCTCTTCCCAGGGAGGTGGTGGAATCACCATCTCTGGATGTGTTTAAAAAAATACTGGACATGGCACTCGGTGCTGTAGCCTGGTTGAGGTGTTAGGGCATGGGTTGGACTCTGATCTTAGAGGTGTCTCCCAACCTCATCATTCTGGGATTCTGTCATTCTGGGATTCTGTGATTGCTATCCCACAGAACAGACCTGCCCTGGCCATTATCCGGGTACTGACCATGTGCTGACCCCTCCAGCACCACAAATCTCCCCAAAGAAAGAGAGGAAAACAGGGGGACACAGCCTGGCTGTGGGCAGTGGAACTGCCTGAGCACCACAGGGGTCACAGCAACCTCTGGTGCTCCCAAAGGGATGCTCTGCCTGCGCTTTTTGGGAAAGGCAAAAGCTGCCTGCACCAGGACTCACCTCCATGGCCTTGTCACAAAAGGGCAAAACTCAGCTGGGTTTGAGCAGCCTGCCAAGTTCCAGCCACCCCCTCCTTGTCTCAGCCTGACAGGTTTCCTGCTCCCTGCTGCCAAGTTCATTGCATTTGCACATGCAAACAGCAGCCAGCCCCTCCTGCCTGTGCTGTCACACATCCAGGGCATCACCTGCATGTCCACGGCAGGTTCAAAGCTTTTCCTCCTTGTGTGCTTTCCTATCAGGCACCTGACAGCACCCTCACCACTTTCCATAACCTCCTAAACCCACAATTTGCTAATAATTTGCAAAACCCCTCCAGAGAGCCCAGCTCTTTCCATTCCAGTTGTAATGCTGATTGTGCCATTAAAAAGTAATATTGGGCTGCTGATGGGCAGGCAGTGTGCACTTGATTTCGGGAAGGATGGCAGAATTGTATTAATAATTCATTAATTTAATTAAAGGCCAGGTCAGCAGCTGGACTGCATTGTCAGAGCTGCTTTGGGAGTGCTGCCAGCTCACCCAGCTGAGGATCTGGCTGGCTTGATCCTCCCTCCACTATTTTTTTATTCATCTTCCAGCTGAAGCCCAACTTGAAGACATAAATAACAGCAAGCTGGCTGGGCAAGGGAGGGATTGCAGCATGTTTCCACCAGCAGGGCCACGAAGAGGAAAGGAGAGGATTAGTTTTGTGGCTCTGGGGGTTTTACGGCATCATTTTAGGAACAAACAGAACAGAATCATTGGAATGAATCCTCCTCAGCTCTGCTGGGGCAGGCAGCAGACCCCCAGGCAAGCTCTGCTGAATGCACAGCTCCAACAGAAGGGCTGGGGGGTACAAACCCACCCAGAGGAAAAAGCACCCCCCCCATTTAGTGATGAGCTCACCAAAAAGCTCAAACCCTCTGCCTGTCACCCTGCCTGGATGAGCAGCCCCAGCTCCCAAGGAAGCCTCCCCACCCAGGGGCCTGCAGCAGCACCCACACCCTGTCCAGGGATGTGTGTGGGAGAGCAGCTTCCAGAAACAGGGAATCTCAATGGAAAATTAAAAGTTCTCCTTGATCTTCCAGAAAAAAGAGAAACCCTCCCGAGACAAAAACCTGCGTCAGAAATTGAGATTTTTTTCTCTTCTCTGCTGTTCTCTTCTGCCTGATGCTCAGGAAAGTATGAAGATCCTCAGCTTTGGGGATGCCCTGGCCAGTGCCACCTCCCCATGCAGCCCAGACCCAGGGTGGTGGCTCCCACCTGCCACCTCCACGATGTCCCCAGGGACGATGTCGCGGGCGCGGATGCGCTGCACGCCGCTGCGGTCGGCGCGGATCACCTTGCCCATCTCGGGCTCGTACTCCTTCAGCGCCTCGATGGCACTCTCGGCATTCCTCTCCTGCAAGCAGACAGGACCAGAGCTGATGGTGCCAGCAGGCTCCTTCCCACCAACTGCAAAGGCAGGAAAACCTAAACCCAGCCTGCTTTGGAATCCATTCACACCATGCATGGGACAAGCACCTTCAAAATGATTCCTGCTGGTTCAAACCACCCCAGGTCCTGGACATTGCCTGGACCTTTGGGGTTGATCATCTCATTCTCATTGTGAGAAGCAGTGTGCCCCAACCAAATGCATTTTTCCCCATCCAGCAACCTCACCTCAGATCAAGCTGCAGGTAAATAAATGGCTTTATAATGAATAGGTGGAAAAGAGGAGCACCACTGGCTGAAGCGTTTGCTCATCCCCCAAGAGGGACACATTGAGGTGAGGGTCAGCAACCACTGTGGCTTTCTGTGGACAGAGCAAAGACCTTCCCTTGGAAAAAGGATTTGGCCCTGGCCAGGAGACAAGCAGTTTTTGCCTGGATAAGTGCAAGATAAGCTCCAACCTGCAAGAATTGCCAAAGAAAGACTGAAAGAACCAGCCAAGAGGCAGCCATATGTGCAGGGCATGGGGAAGCATGGCCAACATGAAAATTGAACCTTTGGAAAATTAATTTCCAGGGGCATGAAGCAACCAGACCTTTAGATGAAGGCTCTGAGCCTCGTGGAGCAGACCTGGAGGGCAGCTGTGCTCACCTGCCACACCCCCACCACAGCATTGGCAATCAGGATCATGATGATGACAATGGGCTCCACAAACGCCGTCGTGGTCTCCTCCCCTTCCTCAAACCAGGCCAGGATCTGGTGGCAGGAGAAAAGGAACACAATGTGGTTCAAACCAGAGCAGCAACATCTTAAGAGGGATGAGGGACTCAAGAGCCAAGCCACAGGTGGTTATTTGCTGGAGAGGGAACAACCTGGAGATGGCCAGACCCACATGGTTTGGTCAAAGAGTGGAATTGCCATGTCCCACTGCTGGAGCCTCCAGTGTTCTGCTGGGATAAGCTGAGGCACTGAACAAGTGGGGCTGGAGCAAGCAGCCATGCAATGCCTGAATGAGTGCCTGCACCAGGAAAGCCTCTCCCTGTGTTCAGTGCTCCTGTGGGGACACCATGGCCAAGAGCTGATGAATGGAGACACCAGGCAGCACTGCAGCCCCTCCTGGGCAGAAGCTCAGTGAAGCAACACAAATAATCAGTGCAGTAAGAGCAGCCCTGCAGAGCAGGGACTGACCTTGTGGCTTCCACCACCCTGAGCCCCCCTCTCCATCCCAAAAGGCCTCATACCATGGTATAGATGAACACACAAATGTTTCCACTTCATTTAACTGCTCATCAATCTGCACTGTGTCAACACAGCAGCACCTCTCTGCTCTGTCACAGAGGCACTGGCACAAGGACCTGACCTCTGGCACAGGGCTTCACACCTGCTCTACCTGCACTCACTTCACTGCATGCTGGTTTGGGAATGTTTAAACCCCACAAGGGACCAGCCTTCCCCCTTATCTACCCATGGGTCACATCCTAAAGGAAGAGACAGGAGTCTCAGCTTTGCCATCCTGCTGCCAAACACACTGACTTACACTCAAAAACCCCCAATTGTTCTCCATCATCACCTTGGTGGGAAACATCTCCTCATGCAGAGATGCTCCCAGGGTAGATTGTGGGCAAAACTGCACTGACAGTTCAGCCCTGGGGCACAGCAAACCAGGCTCAAATCATCAGCCTGGAACCGCCCTGTGCAAACAGAAGGCAGCCCAGGGAACTCCTTGATATCACTTTTGGTGCTTTTTGATCAGCATCACTGAAAAATCCTCCAGTCCCATCTTCAAGCAATGCAGCAATGTTGCCACCATGCCCTACAAACCACTGCTCTGCTGCTGCATCTCCTTCATCCCACAGGCACCTGCCCTCCTTTCCTCTTTGGATGTCACCTGAGGCTGTGTGTGCCCCAGAAGGTGCCACCCCAAGCTCTGGGTACTCACAAAGGACAGAAAAGCTGCCATCAAAAGGATGCGGACGAGAAGGTCTTCAAACTGCTCCAGGACCAGCTCCCAGAGGGACTTTCCTGGTGGGAAAACATGAAGCCAAGCACAATCAGTGCTCAAAAAAATCCCTAGAAGACAGGTAGACAACTGAGGCCCTGAGAGCCACAGAACCACATCTCTGCTTGCTTCAGGGCTGCCCCTTGGCCAGGGCATTGGTGAGGACATGCAGCACTGCAGTGGGGGCTTCTCTCTAAAATGAAATGCTTCCCTTTCCCCCACTGCCCTGCTTTCACTGGGTCTCGTTTTAAAAATCCTCTGTTCCTATTCACAGAAGTAGCCTCACCACCACAGAGAAGCTCTACAGCCAGCCCAGCTTTCTCTGGGCTCAGATGAAAAGACCAAGATTAAAACCAAGATTAAAAGACCCCAAAGATTCCCTCTGCCTTGTTCCCAGCACACTCCACCCAGACCCAAGGCAGGCACTGCCACCTCCAGCCCAGGACTTACCTTCTTCTGCAGGGAGCTCTGTGGGTTTTCATCGACAGCCCAAGGAGCACAGGACAGCAACAAATGATAAAAATAAAAATATCATTAGTGATTTGGACCCAGACTAGCAATCCCTTCCCTTAAGCCTCACTCAGCATCCCAAAATGCAATTTTTTCTGCACAAATTCCCACACCAAGGCAGCTTGTCCTCAAACTTCTCAGTCCAACACGAAGTGAGCAGCCCTGGAAATTTCATTTCCCTGCTGCTGCAAGTGGCTCCAGCAGCATTTGTTCCTACACTCAGCCTGCCTAAAAAAATATTCCTCAGGAGCTGCCCTCTCCAAATCCAAGACACAGAAGTGCAACCATCCCATAAAATGCCCTGCCAGAAACCCAATACAGCCCCACTGGGGACTGTAACTTTCAGACCATATTTCCTATTAATCTGTTGTACTTTACAGCCTGCAACGCTCTAGGAAACAAATCCAAGGGCGATGCTCAGCTGCTCCAAGCTGCCCTCCTGAAGCCACCCAGGGGGTGCAGAGCCTCCATCCACACTGCCAAAAGCCAAAGCCAAGCCCAGGCACCTGCAGAACCTCAGAGAAACCCAGGGGCTCCCAAGCACCCACCACAGTTTGCCCAAAATTTCCACATCCCCAGGAGGTGACCATGACCTTCACATGCAGCCACAGGTCCCACAACCACTGGACAATGTGATCCCTAAGATTTGAGATTTTTTTATTTTCCATATATTTGTAATCCTGCAATTCTTTAGTGTTTAACTCCAAACTCCATATGGAGTGTTAGCTACAGCTTTCCCATTTTGGGCAGACAAAACAATTCCTCTCTAGGCCTGGGAACCAAGGATACCTCACTGCCTCAGGCTCTGAGAAATGTAAACAAAAGTGAGTTGGGGAGAGCAAACTTGGGGTAAATTACCTAATTACGTGAAGCTGTAATTGCAAGATTAACCCCCAATATACAAATGGACCAAATTTATAAAAATGTGAAAACCTGTGACCTGCTGTCCATTTTGGATGTAGCCCCTGGAGGGCTTTATCTACCCTGAATGTACCTGAAGGCCCTTCAATAAATATAAATAAACTGCTTTTTATTCTCTTAATTTTGTCTGCTGCTGCAGACAAAAGGTGTCAAAAGGCATCACTGCTCAAACCCTGGTTCCCTCCAAGGGAATCCTCCTGCTCCTGGGCAGCCAGGGGGGAGCTGGGCCTGCTGAGGCAAGGCTGGGCCCAGGACTGTGAGGCCCTCACCCAGAGAGGTCTCAGGAGTGACCAGGGAGGAACCCAGGGAGGGCTCAGGACTGACCCCCTGGATTTTGGGGCTCATGGGGGTTTGTCTTCACTTGCCCCCATCAGAATCCCAGAGTGGGTTGGGTTGGAAGGGGCCTGAAAGTTCATCTTGTTCCACCCCCTGCCATGGCAGGGACACCTTCCACTATCCCAGGGTGCTCCAAGCCCCATCCAGCCTGGTCTTGGACACTTCCAGAGATGGGACAGCCACAGCTTTTCATGGTAACCTGTGCCAGGCCCTCCTCATCCTCACAGGGAAGAATTCCTTCCCAGGCCCTCCTCATCCTCCCAGGGAAGAATTCCTTCCCAATGTCCCATCTATCCCTGCCCTCTGTCAGTAGGAAGCCATTCCCCTTGTCCTGTCACTCCATCCCTTTTCCAAAGCCCCTCTCCAGCTCTCTTGTAGCCCTTTTAGGCACTGGAAGGGGCTCTGAGGTGTCCCCAGAGCCTTCTCCTCTCCCCACATCTCTCAGGGTACATCTGCACCCCATGGAGCTGACAAGAAACCCATGGCAGCTCTGGGTTAACAGTTAGACTCAATGAACTCAGAGGTTAACTTAATTTTATGACAAAACAAGATGTTTCTCCAACTCCTTGTGTTTCTGGAGGGAATAAGGGACCAGATGAGCCCAAGAGGAGCCAGTCTGAGGCAGACACTGATGCCCCACCACTGTGGCTGTCTGCAAACACCCCCAGCCTGGAGCCCTGAGTGAAAGCAGGAAGTGAAACCTGCTCATCTGTTTTCCATCACCTATTTTCACTCAGAGGAATGAAAAAAAAAAAAAAAAACAAAACCCAAACCAAACCTGCCTTCACTAAACCAACCAGTGAAAACAAGAAACCTGAATGTGCTCATGCTTCAAACTGTACCAGGGCCTCCTCAGCCCTCACAGACACACCCACCATGAGCTGCTTTAAACCCACATTCCCCTGGGTCAGGCTGCTCTGAACCCTGCCACTGTGAGACACAGAGCAACACACAATGCCTATAATTATTTTTATACCTTTTATATTTTTATTAT